GGCTTGCCACTTGTGATAGTATATAGGCATCTCGGCCAGCCCTGGCGGTGCCTCTCCCCCTGCTGGCACTCCTCCCGCTTCTGCCGGCGTATCTCCCGACAGTACATGCGGTGGCGCCACCGGCTACACCTGCGTCGGCTTCCCCGAAGGTGAATGTTGCTCCCAGTATGGATTTTGCGGAAATACTAACGACCATGTAAGTCAGGGACGATGCAGAAAAATGAATCCAATCACGGACACTAACATGGCGTAGTGTGGAACGGGATGTAACCCTCTGTTTGGAAAGTGCACCAGCTCGGGAGGCTCTCCACCTGCGCAGAGCCCTACGCCCCCTGCGCCGACTCCAAGCACTCCTCGCTCTTCCTCTACCGGTATGCCACCTGTAGTCCCGCCACGCTCGAGCCCAATCTCCAGCAGCAGGGCTCCATCCCCCACTCCCGCTCCCGCTCCCAGCCCGGCTCCTACCCCTGGAAAGAGAGTCTCTCCAGACGGATGGTGCGCCGGCTCTCGGGGCTACACCTGCTCAGGCTCGCGCTTTGGAAATTGCTGCAGCCTGTTTGGACAGTGCGGGTCATCCATGTTTCACTGCCGAAGGGCTTTTGGCTGTAAGGCTGGCTTCGGTGCCTGCGTCTAATCTTCAATATGAGTTTAGTACCGGCACATTGTAGTCGCCAGGGCCGGGGCGGGATATCTGGCAAACGCTTCGCAAATGTGTTATGGTGTAACCAGTTGGATTTGATGGGCACTTAGGCTACAGTCGTAGTTAAGTCTACCTAACATGGTGAAGAGTGAAAATCATTTCCCGCACCTAGAGGTGTGTTGAAAACTCTGTTCGTATATGAAGTCGTTTGATTAGTACCGGTATTCTTGAGGAACTCAGTGCTACTTCGATCTCGCAACATCCAAATCCACCGCCCACCAATTCGCAACCTGCCTTGGCTTGATCTGCTTCACGAAATAACCACCAAACTCTTCCATGAATCCAACATCATTCCGCGCTGCCAACTGCACCTTTAACATCCACACTGACCAAAAGCGCCTCTACAGTCCCCGTATTCACTATCAAGACCGTCATTAAGAACAGCATTGCCACATAGATAACAGCTGCCACGAAAATCCCATTCCATCGACCAGATGTTCAATTGCACGCGTATTCGGATCCCACCACTATTTCCTAGGACCATTTGCTCACAAACATCCAACAAGATCCACGCGTAAGCCAGCTCTGAACTGCGTCACACAAGCACAAAACATAGTTATACACGGCACGCTTACAGGCAGGATGTCCTCTCCAGCTATACTGATTCTTGATGTCGATCCATGAACGGGATATTATCCATGACTGGAAGCTGAAGACGTAGACTGATAAGACTACGTGCTCCTCCCATGATCTATTGCGAAATTCTCGCCTTGTCGAATATAGGTATGAATTTCATTCGCATTTCCGCTAATATCAACATGAATGCCCCGCCCACTCTATACAATATACACATAAAACCAACGATCCAATCTACACCCCAACAGCCTGAGGATGCCAAAACACACTCTGTGGATCAACCTGCCTCTTCAGCGCCGCCAACCGCGCATAAACCGCATCACCATAGTACAGCTGATGTGCGGTGGCAGCATCATAACTAGGATCGAGATAGTTGAGGTAGGCGCCAAACTTGGTTTGCGGCTGGGCCTTGATGACGGCGTTGTTGATGCCGTTGACGAAATCGAGGGAAGCGCCGGTCATGCCGTAGTTTTGCAGGACCCAGAGACTGTCGCGGTCGTTGTAGGCGGCGAAGTTTGTGTCCTTGGTGTTGATGGCGGAGCCTGGGCCGCCGTAGAGGTTGATGATGATGTAGTATTCCACGGAGCCGGCGGTCTTGAGGTAGTCGAAGAGGGTGTTTAGGGTTGTGCGAGTGAGGCCCGAGGATTCGGGGACGGTGAGGGATTTGGCGAAGAAGTTGTCGTGTTCGGCGTAGCCGGATCGGGGGACTTTGATTGTGGTTTCCCCAGAGACTTTGACGAGGTAGTCGTAGTAGGGCATGTTTTGCACGGTGGGGGTGTTGCTGGGAAGACTGCGGAGGAGTTCGGGCTTTACTTTGGCGTTGAAGTCGGCGACGGAGCCGAAGTAGGCACCGCTGAGGGTGAAACTGCCGTAACCGTCGAGGTAGACGCCAAAGGAGATTTTGTTGTCCACTACGGAGGCGTTCTTGGCAACGTCCTGGATGTGGAGGAAAGAGTTTGTGAACGTGGTCTTGGAGTCCATGACGCCGTTGAAGGCAAATGCAAAGTACGTGATGGAATCTGGCGCAGGACGTGTTTGCACATAAAAGGTTGTGACGATACCAAAAGACTCTGCAGCACCCCTGATGGCCCAGAAGATTTCAGGGTTCTGGCTGGATGTGGCCTTGATCAGGGTGCCGTTTGCGAGGACGAAGTCTGCACCAACGACCTGGTCCATAGCAAGCCCCCAGTTACGTGAGGTGTGGCTGTAGCCTCCATGAGTATAATGACCTCCAATACCAACGCCAGGGCAGGTTCCGTGGGACACAGCAGCCTTGCCCTGAGTGAAGATACCATCTGCGAGGTTACCAAGGCGAACGCCGCCTCCGACAGTCGCGACACCCGAGCTCTTGTCCAGGTTGATAGTCTGGAACGACTGGAGATCAATCATCATGGAACCGTCCTTGCCACCAGAGCTAAAGCTTGCATACGAATGGCCACCAGATTTGGGCTGGACCTTGAGACCAGCCTGGGCAGCGCAAACTACGGCATCTTGAATATGTTGGTTAGTGGTAGGAAGCACGACAACAGCTGGCTTGTACGGCAGACGCAGGTTGTAGGGTGCAATGAGATCAGAGTATCCAGCGTCGGAAGTCATCTTGTAAGGAATATTCTTGCCATTGAGACATTGGGAAGCACCACCAGAAGACGGGGTAGGCGACGGCGTTGGCTTGCTCGAGCTGCCTGCTTGCGAAGAGCTCGAACTGGGAGTACCATTGTTGCTACCACAGAGTCCAGCGTTCGATTGACATCCAGTTCCACACTGGTGCAGGTTAGTAAGTCATTACTCAGTATCGAGTTGCGGTTTTGTGGGTACTTACATAGGCAGCCGTGCTACCACAGTAGCCCGAGGCGCTACAACATTGGCCAAACGTGCTTCCTAAACATGTATTTCCCGTCTTTCCACCGCATGTTGCATCGGTAGAAACCTTCAATGAAGTTGGGGTTGCAGCGGGTGCTGAAGAAGCTTTAGAAGACACCGGCTTGGTCGTGCCCGTGCATGTGCCAAACGCTGAGTTGCAGCTCGCACCACAATGAGCTGCAGAGCTTCCACACCATCCATATTGCGAACAACAGTTTCCGAACGATGAGCCCTGACAAGTGAACTGGTTTGCTCCACCGCATGAACCGTCGGTGGACACAGCTCTCTTGGCCAACAACGGGGCAGGCGAAGCGTCAGCAAAGCCCACAGACAAGAGTCCGGCCGTAACGGAGACGAGGAACTTCATCCCGACGAGAAATTACTGTATTAAAAGATTAGAGCGTCCAATAGATGAAGACAGGAACGTCGTCAAAGGACACGACACAGAATTCTCAAAAGCGAATGAACGGAGTCTCAAGGAACGTCCGATAGGGTGTGTACGGCCATCATCAACATGGGCATACTCAGATCTTTAAATCAAAGGGCCTATTTCCCCAATACGAGTAAGGCCATCTCCCGTCCCGTCCCTGCAAGCTACGATCAAGCTTTGGCGCCGCCACCATTCGATACCACAACACCGACGAAAACTCCATTTTGGCCTAGGTAAAAGTCCTGCTTGCCGGGCACATCCTCAAAGCTTCTAGCGGTCGATCAAGCATCTCACCACGTTGCTATTTCCGTCCAAACACGACGTGCACGAGGTCGCGTAGAACAAGCATGGAGCTGAGTTGACCGATGTACTGTGCAAATGCCAGTCAAGACACGCCAGCAATGTGCGACGGTGGAGAGCACGTGTAGCAGCGTTGCGTCGTGCAATTGTGTCATCAGCTGAAAAGCTGACCCAGGCAAACCCTTCAATCAGAGTGGTAGTAGGTACCGGTAACTGGCCAGAGTAGGGTAAGTTGAGTTAGTTCGGTCCGAAATGCAAGCCATCGTATCCTGTCGCACTCACAACCATCCTCTCCACTAGCCACAAGATGGGCATCCATTCATACGGTGGTCCACTTCTTCTTGCATCATGGTCAGACATGCGATTCCATCATCCACCTCGTAACTCAACCCACAAAGGCAGCAGAAGAAATTTCCATGGTGGAGCACACAGCACCCAAGCCTTTTGCGAGATAGGGATGTCGTACAGTTGCGGCCCCCTGGTGGGCCTTGGATGAACGTGCTAGGTAAGCATGTAGCTACAGTAGAGTAGGTATGTATTTTGTATGTAACGTGTGGCAGCGAGCAAAGACCCTGGACATACCTTGTCGGAGTCGGAGGTCGGAATTGGAATCCTGGAATCTGGGTTTTCCTTGTTCTATTTTAGGATAATCCATGTCATACCAATGCCGCACATAGAGTACAACAAAGACTCCAAGGAACAGGGAAAGAAAGGACCATCCATGACACAGTATTAAAGCTTGGCAATGATCTTTAACTACTACACTGTATGTATCAACCAAGTGAAGCCAGATAGGAAGTACCCAGGTGCTGTGCTGGAGCCGTCCACCAGAGTTGCTACCCCAGTGCTAGCATACCGGTACCGTACCGGTAAACGTGCGCCTTCTGCCGCTCCCTCGCCGTGGCGTTGTGCCGACAAGTCAGACTGTACATATTACCGTATGTACCGGTACGCTCACCGGTGCGGTGGTCAGCCCTCCTGTATCTCGCATTTCAATGCGAGCAAGCCACGGCTTAGCTGGATCAGCTGTCCATGTCAACCTGGCTTCGCGCTGTCGCATGCAGCTTGACCAATAGAACTTCACAAATTACGCGAAACAATACAGAGCCCGATAATCGAACAACGGTCATCTTCTTACCGAGATCGTATTCACGAAAATTCATTGTGAGCAACATGCGCTGAGCGCCAAGTGCCGTAAACAGGTCCCCCCCCCGACTCCTGGTGCAATGCTTGTGTAGCTATCGCCCGTGAAAACCATTAGTTTCTACTAACACATATGAGATAGTCCAACTCCTTGTCAATGTCCCATGATAGCGCCTTCAAACTCCATGCCACTCTTCACAACACACGCTCGCCACTGTGAACTCCGCGGACAATCAGAGGGCTCTATGGGTGCATGAAACCATCACCTTTCAACGTGCACTCCGTCTTCAACGAAAATGTCTTCTCAAAAGCTTCCACCTGCTTGACGGCAACAGCGGCTGCCACATGAACGCGCCGTGGGCTAAGCTTCGTGGTGGCTTCATGAACGCTTCGCTTTCCGCCGTGACCGTCTCCAGACACACATTTGCCCTTGTCGCTCCACCGAGCGTCCGCTGCAGCCTTCCAAAGCGACGTAATGTCCACAGTCATCTCAGGTGTGTAGTAAAGACGACAATCTGCTTCCTCGTACATGAACTGTAACGGAGTAGCTGAGGTGTCATTGTAGCGCACCCCATCGCGAGTGTTCACAGCAGGACCACCACTCGCGCGATTGAATGGAAGATCGTTGTAGTAATCTTTCCTCAGAATGGACTGGTTCAGTGACGGTTGATAGCGAACAGAATATTGCGCCAGCTGTTGGATGAACCCATATTGGTAGTTGTTTACGCCCTTTACTCCACCGACGGCCTGGATTGCATTCTTATTGCTGCGACCCCCCATCGCGATGGTCTTCACACCAGCTTGTTGCGTCATGAGTTCGCTGAATATAGCACAAGTGGAAGCACAATAGCCGTCGGTAACAAGGACGATGTTGTTTGGATCGAACCGCGGTGGACCAGTTACATTGGAAAGAGAAGCGTAACCAGTCACATTGATCCCACCTGAAGCGAAGGGAACATAGACGTCCGAAAGATTCCAGCGAGACAGTGAGGTATACGAATTTCCCTCTACCACCACGGGGCCAAACTTCTCGTCCCAAGATGTAAAGGGCGTGCCATCAACCGTCATGTCTGTATGATAGTCGAAGTAAGAAGCCTGCGCTTGAGAAACCGATTTGTTTCCAGGATTATAAACACGAGGAAATTTTGAACCGTATTCGCTATAGGCCTGGCCGATCAGGTCGACAGCCTCAATGGCACGAAACCGATTAGCACCGTAAGGCTCAAGGTTAGGAAAAAGCTGCTTGAACAAGTCATAGCCCTGGAGGATCGTTCCACCTCCATTGGCCTGCAGATCAATGATCAATTTGGTCTTGCCGTCTGCAAGCGCTTTGGGAATGAACTTTTGGGACACTTGTTGGAATGGAACCTCCGAGCTACTGGCCCCGACGAAGTTGGGCACTTGCAAGACTGCGACATCTTCGTAGCCCTCGGCCTCAATGTAGAACCCATTGATAAGGTTCATGGGCCCGGGAACTATAGGTTTCGGGAATCCAGGGGCAGCCGCAGTCGCGCCATCCTGAGCAGGCTTGGATATGTCCTTGGGAGATTGTGTCTGCACGTCTTGTACTTCCGTCTTGGTAAAGTCGCCTGGAGATCCCCAGCTGAACCACTTGGAAGCCAAATCCTCACCGGAATTGATATTGCGGAAACTGAGAGTCACGTGTGCCGAGTTTTCCATTGTCGATTCGGTCCCATTAGCGAATTTGAGTGTAGTGGTGGGGCCAGGATAAACCCATCGTCCACGACCTCCACCAGTAAACATTCCAGTTCCAGAGCCCGAGCCACCGAGGCTGACCTGAGCAAGCTCGTAGAAGACGTTGTTATACAGGGCATCGCGATCCTGAAGAGAGCCAAGTTGGCTCAGATCCTCGAGGAATTTGATCACGTCCATGCCATCGATCTCAACAACGGGCGAAGGGGAATAAGAGATGTTCTTGAATTGCATTCCCAGCACATCCGGGAAGGCGAAGACGGCCGGCAGCTGCGTACCATCCTCGGACACAGAAACGAGTGGAATGGGACGACTCCAGGTGAAGATGCCGCCGACGGAATCGGGAACGTATGTGAAGTGGCCGTCATGAGCCCCTTGTATGAGGGTGTAAAGTGACCAGCCAAACGCGTACTCGTTCTTAAATTTGCCAGCGTCAATGTCCTCTTCAATCTTGTCAAGACCTCCTAGAATGTCGATGGCGGGCTGCACCTTCTCCACGTACTCGGCAGGTGGATCGGCAAGCACATCGAGAGTGCTTTGCCACTCAATGTAGGGCCGGATCGCCTTGAGCAGACCCTTTGCAGAGGTGGAATTGAAGGCAACCGTGTTCAAGCAGTCCCAGGCTAGACCTGCGGGCATCTGCTGCCTGATATTTGGGGCTCCACTGTCGTACATGTACTGAGAAACTTGAGCGCATGGTGCCGATGAGCTATTATTCTGGCGCGCTTGGATGGGATATGTCCGTGAAGGTGAGATGGGAGTTGCAGTAGCGAACGTGGTGAGACCCGCGAGAGTGAGAAGAGTGAATGGTCTCATGACGTAGTGTTGTATGAGGTACAGTCGTTGCAAAAGAATGGGCCACTCAAGTTAATGAGTTGGTGAGCGAATGTGGGGTAGAGGTTGAAGAAGAAGAAGAAGAAGAAGAAGATGATGATGATGATGATGATGAAGAGAGACCCGGGAATGAAAGAAGTGCAGCGGTCGAGAGTGAAGGAGGTCGAGAGATAGCCCAGGAGTTGTTTAGGCGGCAAACAATGGCTCGTCGTGCTCAAACAGTGATCGTGGGTCCCAAGGCAAAGGAAGGAGCACTGGGCTGTCACGTATGTGCAAAAGCGCTCTAGCGCCGACTGGACGTCGTGGCAGGAAATGAATAGACTGACTATCGAGTAGATCGAGCAGTAATGGCGGCCAACATGAATGGGTGTACTAGGAAAGAAGATCTCTGAGAATCGTAGAAGACTAGATGTCCAAGAACGCCGACGGGGATCTAATCATTTATCAGGAACCAGGCAAGGCACTAGGCAGGTCTAAGAGGCTGGGGTATGGGATTGATAGACCAGCAGTGACGCATCTGTGTAGGACCCGCCTGCGTACAGACACTAGCTAGCTGCCATCAGCGCCCCTCGGCAAACACCCGACTACACCGTCTGTGTACGGTATGTGTGTGCGCAGGTCAGTGTGTGTGTGTGTGTGTGTGTCTGTGTGGCGTTTGCAGGTTGGTGATGGAAGAACTGACACAACCATGTTGGAGACCGAGTACTAGCCAGGACACAGCTCCTACGGGATGCCAATCAGGACTCAATCACAAGCACCATTCAAGGTCCCCACTCCAGTCTGGTCCGCCGGATGTTTGCAATCTAGATGGAGAGAGGCAGGCTATATGCAGGCAAATATCCAGCATGGCGTCGGTCCACTGGCCAGGTGGAGTTTGAGCATGTCCAGCATTGCGTCAGAGAGTGGTTGGGCATGAAACGAGCAAAGGATAGGTACAATGGAATGGTTTCTAGTCCTTGCACTGCGCTTTCGGTACCTACTACTACTGCATGCAGTAAAGTAGCAGTGTCGAGGCGTTTGGTTCAACGAGTGGGGGGGGGGGTCCACGGGTGCAACCGTACCTACGACCCTGGACGAGATCGGGTCTCGGCGCTCTGACAGCGTAGATTCACATTCATCTGGCTTCTTCCTTGCCACTGGATCTACTACTCTACCTCTCGTCGTTCCCTCACCAAGGCTGCACGACCAATTTGTCGCCCTCCCGACGCCGTTTTTGTCCCACGTCCCACATGCTCTGCGCCATTTGTTCTTCATCGGACAAACTGCCAGGGTCTGTCGTTGCCGCACCTGGATTGAGAAAGCTCGAGACCCACAGGCGGTCCTGCATGCCCTCATAAGGTTCGGAGTCTGCATGAAGCGGCCCTTTTAGCCGCAATTCGGCACTCGCTTTGACAGTACATGAACAACAGCACGATTCGTGGCTATTCGTGTCTGACGTGGTGGCATGTCATATGACCATGGGTTTAGCGTCGGGCGACTTGGGCTTTACTCCGAGTGGTTAGAATATCCCTGTAGGTTCAAGTCCACGTCACAGCGGCAAATTTTTATGGTTATATAAACTAGCCTATAGTTAAGTATAAATTAGGGTAATTTAAGCAAGTAAATATAGTTTTTATTACTATCTTTTTTAAATATATTCTAAACCTATTCTTAATAATATACAGGCGTTCCTAAATACTATACTAAAGTTTAGTATAGCAGTACTAGATAATATATCTAAACTAGATAGTAATATTAGAGATAAATTTAGGTAACTATATAAAGTGCTAGAGGAGGATAGTAGTAGTAGTGTTAAGGAAGTAAGTAAAAGTAAATAGAACAAGTTTAGAACAGGTTAGTAACACGTTATAGGGGCATAATGTATACCTTACTTATAGTAATAGTTAAGGACTACTACTTACACTAGCAATTATTAAGCATATAGCTATTCTCCTAGTATACCCTTAATTATATAGCTAAGGGTATAGGTATATAATACTAGTTTAGTAATATAAAGATAGCTCTTACCTAATAAGAGAAGAGGTGCTTGTGTAGGCTACACAGGTAATACGTTAAGAACACGTTCTTAAATTGTTCTAATTCTAGTAGGTATAATACTCCCGCTAGTCTATCTATCTTAATAGGCCTACAACTTTACTATTCTTTAATAGCTAGCTAGCAAGCTAGTATAAATACTAATACTCTAGGGTAAAAGCGTGTAAGTATCTTAAGAACACGTTATAAACGTGTTCTTATTACGTTATTAATAACGCATTATATAATTAGATCTAAACCTTAAAAAGTGTAGTACCTAAGAAAATTCTATAAAGAGAACTATAAATAAGAAGCTATTATTATAGCCTTATTAAGCGCTTCTCTTTAAGGATTTATAAGGACTACTAGGTGTCTTATTATCCTGTAATAAGGACTATAGTAAATTAGGTAGGGAGCGAAACTTAAACATGTTTAAAACGTGTTAATAATAAGTTAGCAAATTATAGAACAGGCTTAACTATACATTAGCTATTAGAACTACAGCCTAATATCTGCTACTAGGAAAAAATATTATTTTAGTTAGGTACTACTAGAGGTAGACTCTATATATCTACAAGGTCTTCTAACTAGGGAGATATTAAATCTTTCTAGTAGTCCTACTTTATATTCTGTAGTTAAGCTATAGTTAAGCTAGATAAAGAAGTGTAGTAGGCATATTGCAACCTATTCCTAACACGTTCTTAATATATTCTAGGCGTTAATTATCTATAAGGGCAAGGATCTCTATTTAAAATCCTATATAAAGTTACCTTCTAAGTAATTATACTAATAGATATAGTAGTAATACCTTTTTTTGCTATTATTTCTTTTAGTATATATATATATATACCTCCTCCTCCCTTAACACTATCTAATAGTAATATTAAGGAAGTAGTAAAGGTGTTGTAGCCTATGCTTACTCTATAGCTTACGTAATATAAGTTGTTTGTAACCTGTTATAAACGTGTTCCTAACTTATTATAGCCTAGTTCCTAAACTTAACCTAGCTCTAAACCTATCTCTAACTTAAAGGTTTCTATTCTATTAAAGAAATGTATATTAGCTTTATAAATAAAGATAAAATCTTACGTATTATAAAGCGTAAAAAGCTTCTATAGTTCCTATTTAAGAGTAGCCTTAGAGGAGTATACTATAAGTAGAGGACAAAGTATTAGGATCCTAAAACTATACGTGGTATAAGAGAATAGGTTTAGAACACGTTGCTAACACGTTACTACAGGCGTATATACAGCAAATCTTTATATTAAGCTTAGGTAACTTAATTATTTGCCTTTTTAAAGAGCAGGCATTAATTCTATTAGATTAAGATATATTCTAGATAGATATATTATATAAGAGGTTATATAGGGCATAGGCAGAGATTCTAATAGTAATCTTCTACCTGTAGGAAAAGAAGCGTACGCATTAAGAATAGGTTTGTAATATATTTCTAATATATTATAGTTATTACACTTAGCTAAATTATTATAGATAAGGATATAACTAAGATATATTAAGTTGCTATTACTAACTTCTTTTAGAAGTGTGAAGCACTTATAAAAAGATAAGTGTTATAGAGGTATATTTACTTATAGGGATTCTATAGGACTACTATTAATATGTGTAACAAGTAGATAACAGGCAAGTTTTATAGCGCACTATAACATGTTCGTAACGTGTTTCTAACTTGTTTCTAGGACTTAGGCGCTATCTCTAGTTAATTAATCCCTATAAGCGTAACTAGCGCTAGTAACTTTAATCTTATATAAGATTTTGTTAAGTATATCTATAAAGAAGTATTTATAAAGCATGTAAAAGAGAGCTAGATAATACTACCTCTTTACGTCTAAGTGAATTACTACAGGCATTAATAGTAGAGGAATACTTTTAGCTTGCTAACCTCCTCTTACGTAAGTAAACATATTCTAAACCTATTCTAAACGTGTTCCTAACTTGTTCTTATATAATTAGAATACAAACCCTCTAAAGATGCCTAAAACTAGGCAATCTATAAGAAAAACCTAGTAATTACTGCTAGGATTGTGCAATACTATAGTAAAATATTAAAAGAGGTATAGGAAAAACTAGAATCTTATTTAAATGTAGCTAAGCAAGTAGGCTAGAAAGGATATAAAACTAGTAAGCATATAAGTATTCTTAAGGCTACTTAAAAGTAAGTTTACAACCTATTCTTAACCTATTAGAATTGTATAAGTAACATTGTGTAGTACACACTAGATAGATCTATAGGATATAAAAGAGTTTAAAGCCTAGAGCAAGTTTAGAATACGCTATAACTATAGAACTCCTAATAGGCTTAAGCAAAGGTACCTTAAAAAGCTTTAGAGGGGAGAAAGTAAGTCTTATGCTAGTGTTATATATATTTGCTAATTAAAACGTGTTTAGAATATATTTAGAACGCGTCCTGTAATAATAATAACACTCTAGATAATAATAAAGCAAGTCTTGCTATATCTAACTTAACTAGATATATCTTAGTCCTAATAAGAAATAAAAGAGCACGCTTAAAAGCCTAAAGCTAGAGGGCAAGTAGTAGAGTGGTATTAGAAAGAAGTTTACTAGCCCCTTTTCTATCTTCTCTACTACTAGGCTCTTCTCCTCTACTAATAGCAACCTAAAGGTATGCTTTGCGAAACACGTTTATAATATATTCCTAACTTATTATTAGTCTATAACTATAAACTTTGCAATAAAAGGCTCTTCTTAGTAATTAGGCTCTAAAGGAGAGAAAAGAAAAGCTAGAGGTAGATAAGGAAGAACTTATATAGAAAAAGGCACTATTTAAATTATAAAAGGCATAGTTTAAACTTAAGAAAAAGATAGCTACTTTTTATATAAGGTAGGGTTAGTCTACAAATATAATAACTAGTTCCTAACTAGTTCTTAATATATTCTAGTCTATTACGTAAGCATATATAAGTAGATAAATATATATTCTTTCTTCTTCTCTTTCTTCTTCTTTCTTCTTATACTCTACAAGAACTTTTTATATTTAAGAGTTTAATACTATTTTACTATCTATCTTTCCTAATATTATTAGATATAACTAGTTAATATAGTCTATAAAGATCTTTTAAAGTTAGTATGTAATAGAACGCGTTAGGAACACGTTGTAAACTTGTTCTAATACTAAGTAGGATTTATACTAGTGATATATTAAGCTTAAGTCACTTCTATCTAATACTAGGGCATTCTCTCCTACAATATCCTACCTAAATAATAGGTGTATAGTATTTCCTAGCAAGCTTTTCTGCTAGGCTATTTAGGCTAGATTAGGGGTATAGGAACTTTATAGAGTATATATATATGTAAGTTAGAACACGTTTACAATATGTTAATAACTATTTTAGCGTTGCTTCTCTAATAGAGGCAATCTTATCTACTACCTTAAGAGGTATTATCCTAAGGTTTAAATAGCCCTAGTAAACTATAGTAGAACTATAATACAAGGCATTATAGAAGCAAGGATCTTTTATAGGAGCTTAATAGTAAATGCTTAAGAACGTGTTCTAAACACGTTAATAATACGTTCTCTGCTAGTAGAGTAGACTACACTAAGTGCCTCCTCTAAGGTTTAAGAACCCTCTAAGATAGCTAGTCTATAATAAGAAGTAGTAGCTAGAGTAGAGGCTAAAGAGGAAGTAGAGAGTAAAGAAGAGGAGTAAATAGTTGCTCCCCTTTACACTATAAATAATATTTAGCAAAAGCAGCAAAAAGGAGATATAAGTCTAGTCTCTTAAAACACGTTTAGAACATGTTAATAATATATTATAGCTAGACACCTATAAATACTAGATTCTTCTTTAATCTAAGGGACTACTAGAGCTTTATAATACCTATAAAAGTTAAAAGAAAAAGTTATATACTATTAAAGGACCCTATAAAAGTAAATAGTACTTTACTTTTAGTAGATAGAAAAAAAAAGAGAAGAGTAGAGAGTTTATTTTAGTAATTACTACTACCCCTTTAGGTTATATACTATTATATATTGTTTATTAGAACCTATTCTTAATATATTCTTAACGTGTTCCTACTTATTACTATTATTATCTCCCTCCCCCTCTCTAGTATCTTCTTTATCCTCCCTAGGCTCTACAAAAGTATACTGCAAGTAGAACTAGGCGGCATTCTAGCAGGAATTAGCAAGGTCCACACTAGTATTAAAGTAACAGTCTTAAAACACGTTAGGAATAGGTTAACAATATATTGTAAACAACTTACTATAGCTAGGATAATTATAAGCGCAGATAGTATAAGGAACCTAATAACCTTAAATCCTTAGTAGGGTAGATATGAGCAACAAAGTTAAGCTGTAACAAGTTAGCAACGTGTTTTTAACAGGTTCTTACAGGCTATACCTTATTACTATTATAGCTACTATAAGTCTTCTTCTAAATTATATTTAGGAGGGTATTAGCATTTATAGGGGGGCCTATAGTAGCTACTAGCTAGGCTTAGAGAACTTCTATAAAATATATTAGTAATAAGTTTTAAATATATTCTAAATAACTTATAGCAAGGAGTGTTCTAGTAATTATATATAACCTTTATATAGAAGTCTATATATATTAGTATAACAAGTTAAGAATAGGTTAATAATATATTTACTCTTTGCCTTGTGGACCTCTATTATAAAGGGCTAGCTAGTCTTCTTAACCCTACTAACCTTATAGTAGGCTATATTAAGCCTATAATCTTTTTTAGTATAGGTATATAGAGTGCCTCTAGTACCTAGAATAGCCTAAGAATATTAGAACCTATTTAGAACACATTTAGAACCTATTCTTACTTTATATAAGGTGCCCTTATTATTAATCTTAGTATAGTAGTAGCGCTCTCTACTCTCTATCTTAACTGCCCTATTAGGGCTAACTATAGGCTATGCCCTAATATTATCTAGGACGTAGCTAAGGGTAAGGTACTATTAATAGTACTTCTATAACCTATTAAGAACACGTTCTAAACACGTTTTAATCTGCTTACGTAAGATAAGAGGGATACGTTAGTAATAGGTATAGTAGCAGTAGCTTATAGTGTTACTAGTATAGAATATATTTAGAACAGGTTTAGAACGTGTTACAAAATCTTATAGTATAATATTTAGTTAACCTCGCTTAGCTAGCTAGTGGAGCTTGGCACGGCCTAACCCTATGCTGAATACGAGTTCACGCAGCGCTAATTCCATGGTCATATGAACTGCGCCCTCGTGTCTGACTCTTTGCTGCTAAGAGTACTCTAATCAGAGGATCGACTGCCCTGCGCAACCCTTTGTCAAGGCTCCTCTCACTCGCTGAAACACGTGCCTATTGATAGTACCGCTTTACTGGTGCTTATTATAGCCTGTCCAGTCCTGTCAACCGTACTGGTACCATAATTCCATCATGGTTCCACGGTTCGTTGATAGCCATGACCATGACAAGACATGCTAACGACACTACTGTAGCTCAACAGCATGGAACGTCGCGGCAAATCTATGGTCTGTCTGGTGCAGGGTGGATCGAGGAGGTCGGACGTGCCACCTCAGCGACTGGTAACACCCCAAAAAAAAAGTCCCTCAGCCGCCACACAAAAGAGCTGCTATGGTACGACTCACGAGACTGTACCACGGCTTCGTGGCCGTCACGTTGTCACGGGCTGCCATTCGGCTAGCGCTGGGTCGGACAAATCCACATATCCACTTTGGCGCGGCCCCAAAAGTCACCATGACGATATCCCGCCAAAACCTACCAAATCAATCCATGCCGCTCGCCTCTCTGCAATTCGAAATCGTGCAATGCAACTAAAATCTGCAACAAAGATACGTTTTTGAAGAGGTCGCACTAGCAAGGTCAACAAGAAAGTCGCGAGGAGCGATCGACTGCAAAATTTGCCAGCATCAACGAGAAATATCACTCAGTAACCACCAAAAAAAGTCCCCAAGTTTGCAACATCCAGCCTAGCCTTGCTTTCAGCCACCACCATGAGCTTTGAGTAGCACACTTCGCCTACTCCGCTTTCCACAAAACGAGACAAGAGAAGAAAAAAAAACTTGCACCACAGTCCAGTCAACCACCTCTGGTCGCACCACAGCACCAGCCATATGATTGTCACACACAAAAGACACCACAACACCCGTCCCCGTTTCTAGTTTCGTGCCCACCACCACCTTTCTCTTGCCGTATTGTGTTGTGCAACCCAACATGTCCCCATCACCGTAACACCCCACCTTGCCCCTGAGCATGAACATCAACATCAACATCAACATCAACATTGAACTTGGGGACACCAAACACCGCTCCTCATACCACAAACCCCATCCTATCCCCCACCCAATACACTTCAACCCCCAGCCAATTTCCCCAGCACGAAAATTCCATACCCACCTATCCATCCACCCTCCAAGCGCACCAGTATGTAAACGTAAACCATAAAAATAAATCCCCTTCGATAACCCCCCATCTCACATGTATATATCTAACACATCATCATCATCACCACCCCTCCTTAACAACCACAGTCCACACCTGCCTTTATCATCCCAAGAAAACTCCCCACTCTACAGGCCCCAGAGCCAAATATCACAATCACCAATATACAATCACACCCGCTCTCCCGCGCCCTCCCCCCCCCCCCTGTGACCTTGTCCCACGCGCGCAGGCGCACCGGGTAGCTAGGCCGTATGTTCTAGAAGATGGAATCTCAGCCTGAGTTGGACAGTGTGGTACGTGTGGATATTGACTTTATCGGACCACTACCACTGGGAGTGTTCGGAGTGCGTTGAGCTTTCTTGCCCAAGGGGTGTGGTGCCCGGACCCCGGGTGAAGAAAGCTGGGGAAAAGGAGAAGGATGAAGGAAGTATGGGAAGGGATGGTCTACCCTGTAACTGTGTTTAATGTGGGTGGAAAGTAACCAAGGGGTTGGGCAGGGGAATTATTAAAGAAATATTTTATCCTTGAA